GGGGGGTTGTTGGGTTTCGGGGTTATAAATGGTAAAGGCATCACTTTGCTTTCTGTACTTGTGATATTGGGTTGTTAAGTTTTGACTGCATACCCGTTTCTTCTGTATTAAACCATGATACCAGGTCTAAGCTTAATAGATGCTGTTTGTGAAGGATCACTACAGCGTGATGAAATAATCATCAGTTGTAAACTTTGGTTGTGCTTGCATAAATTTCCAGCATCAATTGGTGGCTAGACATCTTCCATTAGTTGTATCTGTGTTACCATGTTAAATTATCTGTATGATGTCATAGCAAGTAGGTCCACCTGGGAGTGGGAGATGATTGTTTGTGCTGTATATGCTATATGGCGTCATCTGTGTCAAATACCCCGGATTTGAAACCTACTTTCTCCTTTCGCTTCAGCTTGTGCTTTGTTTGCTTGCTGATAAAATATTATTGAGAACTGTGATATCCCGGGTGATTGATTTCAAAATGCTAAATTTGCCTCTTGGATAGAGAAACATGATATCATGCGTGGTTGATCCCAATGTGCAGCTGATTAAACAATCTATAGTGGATATTCTATTTCCTTCTCATCATTATGGTGATGTGCTGCCCATGAAATAGAAGTGCCCTCTTAACTGCTATAACAAATAGGATAATAGTGAGAGAATTACAGATTTGGTTCTTTTATTGGTTGCAGGATGGGAATGAAGTCTTCTTTAGGATCAAAAGAAGCACCCAGCTAAAGAAGCTGATGAATGCATATTGTGACCGGCAGTCGGTGGATTTCAACTCAATTGCATTCTTGTTTGATGGTCGTCGTCTCCGAGCAGAGCAGACTCCAGATGAGGTATCTCTCTCCCTCTGTCATACTCTCTCGGATCATGGTTCGCACACTAATAAATCAAAGGAAGGAGCAAATAGGACATGAAAATCTCATGTTTGTTTGCTCTTGTGCTTTATACTCGTACGATTAACTTTCTTGTTTTCTAACAATTTTTCTTCCTTGCTTTAGCTGGAGATGGAGGATGGTGATGAAATTGACGCAATGTTGCATCAAACTGGAGGCTCAACTGTTTGAGTGATCTCTTTTGCTTATGGACAGCCACTGTTTCTAGGTGGTAGACTTTAATGAATGTAGCTTGTGCTACTTTAGGACCTGTAGGAGCATAGATGAGCTTCGTGATTTTTGCTTATGTCGGACCAGCTTGTATAAACATAATTATTACTCACTGTTGCAAGAAGATCATTAGTTGCTTCTTGCCGTGAAATTGAAGTACTTCTTGTTCTATCTATATATATAAGCCCTCTCCTCAACAGCCTCGGCCTCAGGAAGCTAAGATTACTATGTATCTCATGCTTTGTTTGATTAAAGCGCGGATTCCCCATCTATGATATTTGCTAGATATAACAGCCTTGATCAGCCGGATGACCGCACGAGGAACAAGATAAGCTGGTGTGATGAAATCATCCATCCTATTTGGGGTCATCTTGCAATCAAGGTCTATGCGTAATGATAATAGGTGAATTTAACTATAATCACGTCTTAAATAACCACCTTCTTGTATAGTTTTGATGATAAAAGTGATAACAAAATACTCTTATTAGTGCTTTTCATGATTTGCAGGTGATATATGACCAGGGAAGGCTAGGGAGTACTTTTGGAGTCAAAAATGAAGAAAAAAGAGGTCAACTGTGAAATTCCCAAAGTAAACAACGCAAAATAGGCCTGAAGATTCAGAGAACTGTGTCGACCGCGGTTCCACCGCGACCGCGGTAGAACCGCGGTGGAAGAGAGTTGCAGATAAAATGAGATTCAGAGAAGGCATTTGACCGCGACCGCGGCAGAACCGCGGCGGAAGCAGAAAACTTCAGGGACTAAAGTGTAAAACACGGGATTTTTAGACCTAAACCCTATTTTAAATACGAGACTTCGCCCAAGAGAGGCATGTATTGAATTTTAGAGTATCTTGGCAAGAAAAACTATTGTGAGAGAATACCCAAAAACATAGTTCTTCTTTTCTTTGATTTTTATTGCTAGTTATGATGAATTCTATCTTAGTTTGTTTTCCCATAGCCATGAGTAGCTAAATCCTTTGTCTAAGGCTTTGATGGAACCTAGTGGGGGATGAACATCTTGTTTATGTGAATACAAATTGCTAGTTTCAATCTCTATTTGTTCAACTTTGTGCTTGTTGTAGTTAATTGACAGGATCCTCAATTAGCTGTGCCTATTTAGTGTGCATAACTTGAAAAAGAGTGCATATTTAGGTTATTGTTGAACAACACCACTCCCAAAGTATAAGAGGAATCTATAATCGCGGGTTTAAAGGCGGGATTAGGGATAACGAAGCCTTGGGTGTAATCTAAAGTGAATTGTGCTAAATAAAGTAAGCTAGTGTATCTCGGAGAGTGCAATTAGTATATTACTGTGATTACTCGGGAGAGATTTACAGTAAGATGATCGTTCATGATTGATAGAGATGTGTTGGTAAATTTGTATGAGCATAAACAGAAGGGATTCCTTCAATAGGGGAAATCATTGCCTTAGCTTTTTCTCATCATTGTTTATAACCTTAGCATTTTAATTTACAGCTGTTTAATTTATTTGCAATCGTAGTTAGTAAAGCGACCTTCAACTGTAATTCAAACATCTGGGAAACTGGTTCTGAAGAGTTTAGTGGGTCTAAAGATAGTGATTGATAGGTTAACTCTCTGTGGATTCGACCCTGGGCGTAATACTCGGGTTATATTTGCAACGTCCGCAGATTCCTTTTTAGAGGACATAGTTGGGCGTGATCAAATTTTGGCGCCGTTGCCGGGGAGTTAACGGAATTATCAATTACCATTGATAGAAATACAAAAAAAAAAAAAATTCTTAGTGTAGTCAGTTTTCTCTCTACCCAATTTTCCATTGAAATTTTGACGGTTGTTGATCTGGTTGCACAGGTGTATGCCTAGAAATTCTACGAGGACTGGAGAACTACTTGAAGGACTCTCAGACCCCGAGAAAACATTCCGGACATTGAATCGTGCCAACAAAAGACTTCAACAATCCCAACAAACACACAAATTCGAAATTGACATGGGATACGTAAACGATCCCAACGGAAACGTCAGGAATGAGCAAGTTGGCTTAAATGCCAGAGAAGTGGCACCTCCTGTGCCTGAGGGTGCACTATATGACTGGGCACAACCCACAACTGACAATCTGGCCACTGCCATTGTTGTGCCCGCAATACAAGCTGAATCGTTCCAGATCACAAATAACATGCTGCACTTGTTGCAAAACAAGGGACTCTTTTCTGGGACGCAAATAGAAGATCCTCAACAGCACTTGAAGAACTTCCTGTCTATCTGCAAAACTCAAAGGCAACCCAACGTGACTCAGGAAGCAATCAGGCTATTATTGTTTCCATTCTCGGTGGCAGGCTGCTCAGGTTTGGCTAAACTCGCTACCCATAAACTCTATAGAAACTTGGGATGAGTTAGTCAAGCAATTTCACAACAAGTTCCACCCGCCCAACAAAACTGCTCAACAAATTGATGAGATCGTAAGTTTCAAACAGAAACCAATGGAGACACTACACGAGACATGGGGCAGGTTTAAAGGAATGTTGGTTATGTGTCCCCACCACGGTGTTCCAGAACAGATGTTGGGACAACAGTTTTACATGGGACTGTCTGACAGCATGAAGAATATTGTAGATGCCTCTGCTGGTGGGGCATTCTTGAGCAAGACTTGGAGAGAAGGTCAGAATTTGCTCGACAAGATGGCGCAGAATTCGGGTTGGACATCTAGGAATGCACCTATCACTCCAGTGGTGCACTTAGTGCCTCTTGATACTTCTAATACAATAGCTGAAAATATGGCGACTCTCTTGACACAAATGAGCATCCTCACCAAAAAGGTGGAGGAATCAGGGCAGAAGCAGCAGGTACATATAGTAGATACTACCAATGGGGGCTTGTGCACATCTTGCATTAGCCAGCCAATTGGTAATCCTTGGAATGCAGAGCATGATCATCATCATCAGCACCCTGAAGATATGAACTATGTGGCTAACTATGGGGGTCAGAGACAAGGAAATCAGAACTGGGGTCAGCAGATTCAGCAGCAGTACAGGCCACCTCAGCCATAGTATAACGCCGGAAACATGGGAGGCATGAGACCCCCCAACAACATGGCACCGTATCCTAGACCACAGGGGTACAACAATCAGCAGCAAGGGTACCACCCACCTCAGCAGCAGCATGGTGGAAAACAGGAAGACGGGTTTGCAAGACTGGAAGCAATGATGCAGCAGGTTATTGGGTCCAATGCTAAGATAAATGAAAGGGTGGATGCACATGATGCGGCTATCAAAAATATTGAGGTACAAGTGGGCCAGATTTCAATGTCACTGAACAATCGTCCTCAAGGGACATTACCTGCAGATACCCAAATCAATCCAAAAGATCAGGGCCCAAAGCAGCTGATGGCGGTGAGTCTCCGTAATGGCAGGGATCTAAATGTAGAGCAAGAGAGAGCTCGAGAAAACATACAGGCTGAGACACTCATTCCAGTGCCCATTGAGCTGGATGAGTCTACGGGATTGACAGAGGTGACAGTCCAGCCCGCACCTGAAGAAAAGAATATGCAGCAGGAGATTGAGAAAGTAGCTGAGCCAGTAGTTGAAATAGTAGCTGAGAAAGAGAAATCCCAAGTGATTGGGAAGAAAAGACCTCCTGCACCATTTCCACAGAGGCTGGCCAAACATCAAAAGGAGGAGCAGTATAAAAAGTTCTTTGAGATGCTCAAACAAATCCAGGTAAACATTCCATTGATTGAAGCTTTAAAGGAGATGCATGGATACGCTAAAATGATGAAGGACTTGATGTCTCGGAAGTTTGACTTCCAAGACTTGGCCACGGTGACACTTACTCAGACCTGTAGTGCAGTGGTGTCTAGACCTGTTGCTGAAAAGCTATCTGATCCAGGTAGCTTTTCAATTCCATGCACTATTGGGAACTTCGCCTTTGCTAAGGCACTCTGTGATTTAGGGGCCAACATTAATCTTATGCCCCTGGTTATTTATAAGAGGTTGGGCATTGGGAGAGCTAGACCCACCTCTATGTTGTTACAGCTGGCCGACAGGACTGTGAAGCGTCCATTTGGGATCCTTGATGATGTGCTTATTCAGGTGGGGAAATTCGTGTTCCCTGCAGATTTTGTAATCTTAGATTGCAAAGTGGATGAAGAAATTCCTATAATATTAGGACGACCATTCTTGGCCACGGGGAGAGCTCTGATTGATTGTGAGACTGGGGAGCTCAAGATGAGGCTCAATGATGAAGAAATTATATTCAATGTGCAGAAATCTATGAGGTGACCAAGTGAGTTCGCCAATTGTTCTCTTATTGATGCCGTGGATGTAATTGTAGAGTCTGATGATGAGGTGTTGACGGTTGAGGATCCCCTTGCTGCATGCTTGATGAATTTAGATGAAGTGAATGGTGAGGATTTGGCGGAATGGGTGTTGGCATTGGAAGGTAGAGGGTTCTGGGATAGAAATCTAGAGTTTGAGCCCTTACACTTAGAAAAGAGAGAGACCCCTCCAGCAAAGCCATCCATCGAAGAACCACCTAAGCTGGAACTAAAGCCATTGCCAACTCACCTCAGGTATGAATTTCTGGGTCCCAACTCCACATTACCTGTTATTATCTCAGCTGGTTTGTTAGATGTGCAGGTTCAACAGCTTTTGCAGGTACTAAGGGAGTGCAAAACTGCCATTGGGTGGACCATGGCAGACATCAAGGGGATCAGCCCCGCCTATTGCATGCACAAGATTCTGCTGGAAGAGGGGCACAAACCTTCCAGGGAACATCAGAAGAGGCTGAACCCCAATATGAAGGAAGTGGTGAAGAAGGAAGTGATAAAGTGGTTGGATGCGGGAATCATTTTCCCAATCTCTGACAGTAGCTGGGTTAGCCCAGTTCAATGCGTTCCTAAAAAGGGTGGCATGACGGTTGTGAAGAATGACAACAATGAACTAATCTCAACAAGAACTGTCACAGGCTGGAGAATTTGCATGGATTATCGAAAGTTGAATCTAGCCACCCGGAAAGACCACTTCCCACTTCCCTTCATTGATCAGATGCTGGATAGATTGGCAGGGAGGTCACACTTTTGCTTTCTGGATGGGTACTCAGGGTACAACCAGATCTCTATTGCACCTGAGGACAGAGAGAAGACCTCCTTCACTTGCCCATATGGCATTTATGCCTTCAAGAGGATGCCCTTTGGCCTATGCAATGCACCCGCCACATTCCAACGGTG